ATTCTCATAACTCCTTATGATATGGGTATATTATTATCCTCATTTTTGTGTGAGAAAACCAAAGATCAAAGAGTTTTAGTAATTTGACCAAGTTTTCATAGATAGCAAATGATGGTGTTTGGGATTTGAACCCAAGCATCCGTGATGGAGTACCTTCTTCTTGTCAGAGCAGTTACCAGTGTTAAATTAAACTAAATTTGGCCTGAGGGATTCTGTGCTTTCATTCCCTATGTAAGGAACTGCAACCTAATTTAGTATTTAAACTAACTGAAAACCTACTTTAGGAGTATACTTTTGCAACAGATAGCTGAGTCTCAGCCAATCACAGCAAACAGCTAAGCTTCAATCAATCACAGACCGCTAACGGATCAGACCCATTCAAATAAAGTGATGCTGAGTAGTAACCAATCAAGCTGTTTCTATACCTCACTTCCATTTTCTGCCCATAAATGCTGCCTGCCCACGTTGTAGAGCAGAGGTCTCTTAACCTCTCCTGGTTCTGAGGGCTGCCTAATTCTTGAATCCTTTGTTCAGTTAAGCTCTGTTTTTAATTTGTCTAAAGTTTTTCTTTTAACATCAGTTAAGACAAATGGTTCCATTTCCCATTTCTGGTATCCAGTGGTTCAATAAAACATGGATCCATAGATCTAAGAGATCCAGGAGATCATGTAATTCATTTCCCTGCTATTAACTATTAATAAATCACTCTATGCTGAGTCAGATGATGATACACTGGAATGCAATGAAGTACAGTTGAATGTGCAAGGGTCTTGTCAGGGCACAAGAAAGTAAATAAGTCAAAATTTCTGATGTCTGGTGTTGGCTATACATAGAACACTCAATATTTATTTTAAACAGCTTTATTGAGATATAATTCACATACTATATAAATCCATCCTTTAAAGTGTACAACTCAATTGCTTTTAGTATATTCACAGAGTTGTGCAACCATCACCACAATCAATTTTAAAACATTTTCATCATTTACTACCCATTACAGTCACTCTCCATTTCCCCACCCCTACCCTTAGCAGTAGAAAACCACTAATCTTTCTCTTTATATACATTTGCCTATTCTGGACATTTCCTATAAATGAAATCATATAATAAGCAGTCTTTTGTGACTGGCTTCTTTCACTTAGCATAATGTTTTTAAGGGTCATCCATGGTGTAGCATGTATCAGAACTTCATTCCTTTTTATTGCCAAATAGTAATAGCCCATTGTATGATATACCACATTATTTATTCAGTTCATCAATTGATGGACATTTGAATTGATGCCATTTTTTGGCTATTATGAATAATGCTGCCATCAATATTCATGTGCAAATTTTTGTGTGGATATATGTTTTCACTTCTCTTGGGCATATGCCTAGGAACGGAATTACTGGGTCATATGGTAACTCTATATATAACCATTTGAGGAACACTAGACTGTTTTCCAGAATGACTGTACTATTTTACATTCCCCCAAGAAATGTGTGAGGGTTCCAACTTCTTCACATCTTTGAAAATAGTTATTATTTGTCTTTTTGGTTATGGCCATCCTCGTGGACGTGAAGTGGTATCTCAATACAGTAAAGTGCCTACTTTTAAATGAACTAATAAAATGACAGAATAATAGGGCTGGAAAAGATACCTATTTGTATGTAGAAAGTGTAGTATTCCATTGTATAAATATACCATAATTTGTTTATCCATTCTCCTTTTCAGGTACATTTGGGATGTTTTTATTTTGAGGCTATTAAGAATAAAACTGCTATGAGAATTCATATACAAGTTTTTTAAAGGCATATGTTTTCATTTTTCTTGAGTAGACACCTAGGAGAGGAATTGTTGAGATATAGTGTAGGTGTATGCTAACTTTTTAAGAAACTGCCAAACCAGTTTCCAAACAGTTGCACCATTTTATTACCTCCCCAGCAATACATGATCATTCCAGTTGTATACCTTAACAATTTAAATCATGGAAAATCCAAGTGTTTCTTTTCTTCTAAATTTTTACTTCTTAGGGCAGTGAATGCGACATAGTTATAAACATGCACTCATGAGTATAATACATCTTACACACTCAAAATATTCATAGTCTCTTCCACTGGCCTCCCGTAAGCATTCCTATCGTCTACCTACTGCTATCAATTGTAGAGTTGAAAGGCACTTTCACAAATGGATGACTCATTCAAAAAAAATATGTATCTGTCATTAAGACAGGCTTCTGATAGTGGATGCTTGTTATTAATAACCCAAAAGATTTTCTCAACATTCTGCTCCATAATTTTTGTTGGCATGGTCTATGTTCCATATTGCCCAATGGCAATGTTATTCTTGCATTCCAATGCATTTTCTTAGTTCAGCTGCAGTTTTTTCCAGTTGTTGAATGTTCCATTGCCATTGTCTTCTATTTGAATGAAGTTTGTTCACTTGACAACGCAAACGCTTAAGAATTGCATCATATCTCTTATGTTGTACCTATTAAAAGAGGAGCACACATCAATAGGGCTTGTGAAGTATAAATAGTAAACAGCTATAAGGGATATTTTGACTATTCTAAAAAGGAAAGTACTTAGTTAGAAGCTATTCACTGTAAATAATAATGATAATAAAAATAAACAGTAATTGTATAAGTATTTATTCAACACTTATTACATGTTAGATGCTATGCTGAGCTCTTTCTACATATAATTAAATTCTCATAACTCCTTATGATATGGGTATATTATTATCCTCATTTTTGTGTGAGAAAACCAAAGATCAAAGAGTTTTAGTAATTTGACCAAGTTTTCATAGATAGCAAATGATGGTGTTTGGGATTTGAACCCAAGCATCCGTGATGGAGTACCTTCTTCTTGTCAGAGCAGTTACCAGTGTTAAATTAAACTAAATTTGGCCTGAGGGATTCTGTGCTTTCATTCCCTATGTAAGGAACTGCAACCTAATTTAGTATTTAAACTAACTGAAAACCTACTTTAGGAGTATACTTTTGCAACAGATAGCTGAGTCTCAGCCAATCACAGCAAACAGCTAAGCTTCAATCAATCACAGACCGCTAACGGATCAGACCCATTCAAATAAAGTGATGCTGAGTAGTAACCAATCAAGCTGTTTCTATACCTCACTTCCATTTTCTGCCCATAAATGCTGCCTGCCCACGTTGTAGAGCAGAGGTCTCTTAACCTCTCCTGGTTCTGAGGGCTGCCTAATTCTTGAATCCTTTGTTCAGTTAAGCTCTGTTTTTAATTTGTCTAAAGTTTTTCTTTTAACATCAGTTAAGACAAATGGTTCCATTTCCCATTTCTGGTATCCAGTGGTTCAATAAAACATGGATCCATAGATCTAAGAGATCCAGGAGATCATGTAATTCATTTCCCTGCTATTAACTATTAATAAATCACTCTATGCTGAGTCAGATGATGATACACTGGAATGCAATGAAGTACAGTTGAATGTGCAAGGGTCTTGTCAGGGCACAAGAAAGTAAATAAGTCAAAATTTCTGATGTCTGGTGTTGGCTATACATAGAACACTCAATATTTATTTTAAACAGCTTTATTGAGATATAATTCACATACTATATAAATCCATCCTTTAAAGTGTACAACTCAATTG